GTATAAGTTTCACCTGTACTGACAGGAAACCCATGTATGTCCTTGTACCCCATGCTCTCGGTATCCTTCAACATGCTGGCGAGTTCTCCCAGCCCTGTACCACAGAGCACCCCTATATCTGGTCCTCGTCATGACGTAATCAGCCGATATTTTGCCTCCTCATAGCTTGCCCCTTCACTTTATAACAAAAATTGCTTGTATAGATATATCAGTCAAATTTCAAATTCTTTTACTACATTGAACTTTTTCTGTAAAACATACACATACAAATATTGCAAAATAATAACATTACGTGTGGGACATAGTGCTGTGGAGACTGGACATCAGTACACTTTACATTAATGATTTCCTCAAATTGGTAGCGTTGTATATATATTTGCTTAACATAATTAATTCTTTAGTATTTGTTGTACTTAAAAGCTGTGCTAGTTTTAATACTGGCGTTTTTTTTTCCAATGATACATTTTTATAAATCTCCTTTTAATTTCTTGATAAATAGGACATACAAAAATAGAATTGTTCTCAGCTTCAATATTGTGTTGAGATTGACAGATTTTACATAGCCTTTCAGCTCTATCCTTATCTTCATATTGACCTGTCTCAATATATAGACTTTGAGCTGATAATCTTATTTTTGTAAGTACAGTTCTATTTTTCAATGCTGACTATTCTGATTTAACCATACAGCTCCAAAACCAAGGTTGTACAGCGTATTTTTAACATAGTCAACCCAATTAAAAACATAATTTCGTTTGGGTAGTTTCATCAAAACCTCATATGCAGTTTTCAAAATACAGTTATTGGAGTTTGGAATTTTTAACCGATGTTTTATCATACGATATTTTCATACGAAATCTTCCAAGTTCAAAATAGACCATTTCATTGCATGTTGACTTTTTAGCATGAAGTATCCTTTGACAGAACTCGAGATGTACTTTTTCAATGTCTAACCCTTTACTGGCACCCCAGACTTCCGCTGCATAGCATACAATACTGTTGACATATGTGTCAAATAAATTAAAAAAGATGGTACAATTCAACTGCATAGACCTGCATTTAGAATACAGAGCAAACACTGCCTTTCGGCCTTGTTCGGATAACTGCTTTTGTAGTGCATTAAACTTATTATTATATCTAAAAACAGCTCCCAAATATGTGAATTGGTCTACTACTTCCAATTTCTGACCATAATAGAACCATACGTCATCTTTATGTATTCTTCCATTTTTCCGAAAAACAATTATTTTCGTTTTTCCACATTTATAGCATACGTATATAAACTATCCAACATGTTTTGTAAGTCGCTTCATCGGCATACATCGTCAGGAATAAACTCAATTCTCCAAATTCAAAATCCTTCACTCCATTCAAAATAAAATAGTTTTCAAAGTCGTTAACATATAAAGAAAACATTATCTGTGACATAATTTCCCCTTGGGCGAGGCCTATGTTGTTGGCGAAAAAATCTGAACATCTTCCATTAATCATAAAACATGATTTTAATTGTTTATACATTGATTTGATAGTTGTAAGTAGTTTCCCTCTTATACCTGGTTTGATGGAATTATACACCTGCAACATTTAACTCTTTTACATGACCTAATAATGCCTTATCCAATTTTATCCATAAAACTGTGTCAAACAGAATTTCACTAACCCTATCGCCGAGGCTTCTAACATCTATTTTTTTTTTTTTACTTCAAGTAATGTGCTTTCTATGTTCATGCCTTCTACTTTCTCTATATGGGCCTGTTCCCAGCCTGGAATTGACTCAGAAGTTGTGGACAGGGACAGTCTGGGGTCCCAGGAGGGGGTACACAATCATAGGTTGTTGTTGTATACCCGGCAGCGTTGGGGAGACAATGTTGGGGTAGCCCGAGTAACTCTGACTATTGCTGTTCCTATTGTTCATATTACTATACCGCGTGTTAGCGCCTGCCCTGCCTTGCGCACTTGTGCTCTCTACATGTACACGTGTATGTGACTGACCTTTGTGTCCTTTGCTAATGTTGTCTTGCTCTTTTTTTCTTGCTTTTTTCTTCCTTTTTCGTTGCCATTTATCCGGTTTCACTTAAAGTCCACATAATTGGTCCCGTCCTCGTCTACAAATTTGTTTCGTCGACTACATAAACACCTTATTATTGAACATCGTAACCCTGAGCCGGACTCGATCGTGCGTGCGTCCCGCACACCCGCCATGCCACACCAGTCAGACATTGTACTGATATTTTGAGGTTATTGCAAAGAAGATTATACAGTGATTGATATTTGTATACAGAATAGTTATATGATTTTGTTTTACTTTCTTTTTTTCTTACCAAACCAAGTGCACCTAGTTAATCGACGACAGACCGATATGAAAAAAGTCGATAAAACGTCAGAATAATTCGGACTAAGGTTTGTGGTATAAGCTAGGATTCTTCTTGCACTACTAGAAATTTAACAAAAATAACATGTTTGAATTTTGAAGCAATCCTTCTTCCTTAAGCTACTTAATGTTTACCGGTCTAAAGAATATTGTATATACAAAAAAAATGTTTTGGTAAAGACTTTGAAATCAACTTACCAAAATATATATACTATATATATATATATATATATACAAACCAAATTTAAACAACAGGGACATGAATTATTCAAAATGTCCATGACATTATAATTAGAAATGTGACAATGATTTCCACTACTAATTTTCTTTTAAGTTCTCTCTAAAAATATTCAGATATGTTTTAATTTATCATTTTTGACTGACAATGTAGTGCAATTAAAAACAAGACATTTAGTAGATGGGTGGACGAATAGTGGAAAGATGGATGTATGATGGATGGATTAAAGAATAGACCGGTACATAGATAGATGGACATACAGCTTACATGTTTTTTTATACCCAGATTGTTATCACAAATGTTGTGTTCCGTTTGATCATTAATTCAATACATACATTGTTTCTATCATCGAAACTGTAAACTCGTAAAATTTTACATTTTGTGTGATATACTTCATAAAACGTGATATAATGAATACACATAAAATACCAGATTGTGTGAAATATGCTACAAGCTGTCACAACAAAACGTAGAACAGATTAAATTGCCTCCTAATTCCCCTGATTATATATAGTGTTAAACGTAGGCCGACATCTGTAGAGTATAATGTATGTAAATACAGTTTCTCATCTTTTTAGTTCAAAGCTGTATGAAACAACATAAAATTCATTTATCGATGAAGCTAGAAAATTATCAGTGTCATAAAAATGGACGTTTTTTTTAAAAAAATATTCCTGACCTTGACTTGAACTTAGATAATGATTTTTTTTAAAACAAGAATCGAAAGATACGCTAAAAGGTTAAAGTCCCGTTCGAATACATCCGTTTTGTTTTAACTTTAAAATAAGAGAGGTAATTTTTAAGAAGCATTTCGAAATATTGAGATAATGACTGTTTTAAATCATGTTTTTAAAATATATTTGCTCACAAATAAATCAAAAGCGGATGATTGTTCTTAAAACATATTTGTAATGAACTTCGGCCGATTGGTTGTGAAATGTTCCAAGTTCTGTATACAGTTATACACGTATCCTTTAAATATTAAAAGTATTTCTGACTCATCGTTTGTTGTTTTTTCTTATCGCTGTAAGTATGATTTTCACTAAACTCGATGACTTAATAAGAAAAAGGAGCGTGGCGATTTGTTGGACTGATGACTAGTTCTAAAATATTAAATGATACGTGCACCAGTAGTTACCTTTTTTATATGAGCTACAGTGAATGATTAATTGAATTTTGACGGTAATCAGCAAATACAATAGTTTGGCACGCACAAACCAGCTGGGAAGTGGAAGACGGTATCCACGTCCTGGCATACTGGAGTAGACGTAGCACACGCGTATACAGTGCCGACATATAAAGAAGAGTGGACGGTAGTTTTTACTACTAGCTTATCATTCAATATTCTAGAGACGGGGCCAGTCTAAGTGGACGGAGTAATATTTAGAGGGAACATTAAGATGATCTTTTGGGGGGACTGGTTAAAGTGGCTAACAATCTCTAGATAATATCATATATATTTCCCGACTTCTTGACCATGGTCAACTCACATTAGACCTGCTCAAGTGGCAACAAAAACGCCAGTCTCGGGTTTTATATTTAGATTAGAAGCGGAGTGAGAAAGCGAGTTGCTACACCACGGTACTGTATTTTGATGTCGTTGGTTAGCTGTACACAGCGGTCAACTTACTTCAAGGCATGTGCAGTCAACCCTTGCTTTTCTTTTTATCCAAAATGAGCAATATGACCATTTAAATTAAACTGATAGGAGTTACTACCTACCTTAACATCCTTGATCTTTCTCCTGTGGTAAAATGAGCTGTCGTGCAATGTGTGGGACAACTACCAGTCTCACAGGGATGGCTATTGTTACCATTTAGACTTTCAAGTATATTCACTCTGTAACGATCATATTTGAAGGAACTGCTGTGTTATCAAAGATGATTATGGAAAATGTTCAACTTAGATTTCGACTGTTAACGTACAGACTTAAAACACACTGTATATGTGTACTGGAGGAGGGGGTATAATAAAGTAGATACAGGTATGTGCAAAATGTTGTTGAATATATCACTTTCGTATGTATGTTCAATCTGTATTGATTGTATGAGAATGTGTGAATGCGTACACATATTTGTATATGTGTGGGTAGGTGGGCACACTTAATTGACGAAATAAATAATTATCATATTATTATTGTTACTTTTACGAATTTGTCGCAAGAGAGACCAGGTGAGCTAAAACGACTGTGCTTGTATATCAAAATAGTAATGTATCCGCTCATAGAAATACGGACACTATGGGAAACTTTTTTTTATATTTCTAGTTAGAGTTGAGCTGCAATATATATATGAACATATGAACGTCTGATGGTCGTGCGATTAATGGGTTGTCTCCCTTGGACCAAACCATACCTGTAATGTCAAAGTTAAAAAAGAACTCTGCACACTCAACTTTAACAACAGTCTGCTTTAATATAATCTCATTCACATGATGACGTAACAAGTCTGTACAATGATGTAGGAACCAACACTAACAAGACTGGGTAGTACAGCACGCAGGGACAGCAATACACCACACGTCAGCACACCACAATCACCCATCATTATTCTTAATTAAAACACTAGTACAAAACGAGCTCAACATTCCCAGAAAAATACTCCCTCGGTATCACACCTTATCATCCCCTCAGATATATTGCTTTGAGATCTCCTTCAAGTAACCTGATACCAGCAATACAGAGCTGACTATTGAATTGATATTGTATAGGATCCATGCATGAATTACATAAATATAAAGAAAAGTGTAGTCTTACATTGAAAATGAGTGGTTTCGTTTAGTATTGTTTAACATCTTATCAACAGCTAAGGTAGTTTAAGGACAGCATTGAAGATGAAAATGTTCAAATAAGTTTAATGAAAAGTTGATCAGTTTGTTTATTGTACACAATAGTGCTTTACTTTACACAGGTCTAACACTTTTCTCTTTCTTTGGTTACAAATCAAGTTAATATTTTCTGTTTATTACTTCACAAAGCACATATATGAGGACTCTTATATCTACCAACAAATACCAAAAAATGAGTATAAAATTGCAAATATTTAAAAAATAAGTACACATGAGGGATTTTTATGGAAATGCCTTTGTAAAGGGCGTGGGGTAAGCCATGCCAGCAAGTAACACTACCCCTAAAACTGAATGATATGTTGAAAAGACATACAACTACATGTTGTAAGTAAAGATAATACCGGGTTATATACGAGTAAGAGGGAATGAGATTACTTAACATTCTGTATATATAGTCTAGGTAAATAATGAACATTAACAGGTTATCGTACTCTGTGTTACAAAAAAATACCTTTACGTATAACAAATATTCTATTTTTCTTTTTTTCTTTCCGTCGCACTATTGATAAATATTTGTACCAGCAATAAAAAGCTGAAGTCTGCAATAAGAATACAATTTACCCATATAATAATATATTTATTGTGCAGCACATTACTAAATGATTATAAATATGGAATGCATAAACCAGTGACAAAAAGGTAGACAACTGTGTTTTGGCCAAGTCTGTGCGCAGGATATCTATGTTTCACACTCGTTTACATAACAAAAAATTGTGGCTAATTATCTATACAAAACTGAACAAACATGCATGCTACTACACAGTTTTACAACTATTATTATGCTTGATAGTACACAACCAGGGTACAAAGAGAAACATAATAATTCTGAACAAATTTCTTAGAAAGTTTCCAAACTCATATTTAAAGTACATATGCAACACTGAGGAAAATACTGAGAACATATCAGTATGTAAAAAGTTAAAAAGTTCAATCAAATCCAAATTTAATGTCAACATAATCAGTAATTATGTTGAGGGTGATGTATTCGACATTTTAATATTTTTCAGGTAGAAAGGTACCAGTATATAGGTCTGCCTGAGTTTAAAAATAACCTTAAGTTGCTTATAGCTTACAGTCGGAATTAAGCTAACAACAACAGTTTCCCCCAAATTGAATAAAAAATAAATATTCTTAATTACTAGATGGGAGGACTGCACTGTATTATTGAGGCCAAAAAGAACCAAAATTTGGCATTTAATTACCAAATTGATAAATATGTTTAACTGGTGTGACATTTGTTATCAAAACTGTTTGGTTACACATTTTCCATAGTCAAACAATACTCAAAGGTTATGTCAGGCTGGAAAATAAAGTTAAACTTTTTCGCCCCTTTACTCTGATGCTTATATTAGATCGATATTGAAGTCAAATTCCACATGATAAAGCTGTGTTAGAGGCAAACCTTTTGTAATCTCAAGCTCAATGTATACATAACATAGCTGTAAGTACCCGTTCAATAACACACATTTTGTATATTCTGCAGTTTTCCGTAAAATTCAGCATCTAATCTAATAAGGATTACTGCTTCATAAACTAAATACCGATGAAAGTAGAGGGTATTTGACAGGGGAATGTAATTCATACAGATTACTGTAATCACTTCTTGTGACATGTCAGTTACCGGTGGCAATTCTGCTTCATAACTGATACAGGAAATCACCAAAATTGTACTGTAGATGACTTACAGGTAAGCAATCCGTACTACAGAACATACCGGTAAGCAATCCGTACTACAGAACATACAGGTAAGCAATCCGTACTACAGCTCATACAGGTAAGCAATCTGTACTACAGATCATACAGGTAGGCAATCTCCTACAGATCATACAGATAAACAATGTACTACAGATCATACAGGTAAGCAATCTGTACTACAGATCATACAGGTAAGCAATGCACTACAGAACATACAGGTAAGCAATCTCCTACAGATCATACAGGTAAGCAATGTACTACAGGTAATCATTAGATGACGTACAAGTATTCCCATATCTTAACACAGGACATACTAACATCACTGCTAGTACATATGACATACCTGTACTACACAATGTACCAGGATTTTCTTACAACTGAGGCTTTTATACAAACACTATTGTAGTGCCAGTATGGCAAGTGGCTAGCTACAGGTTAAACCAGAAACATGAGATAAATGATGTTTCATAGGATGATCAGAAAAATATGAGTATCAGGATTTTTATACCAAATACATTGATCTATAAAAAGAGGAAAACTTCTTTCCCTTTTGTATAGATGGACTTTGAATGAAACACTGGGAGCATTGGTTAATAGATTATAAATAAATAACCAAGTTCATAGAAAACTGTATCAATGTTTATAATAACATTATAGATCTTAACTCTTATTTTGTAATTTACATAAAATAACTATAAAATAATTACATTCCCTGGCTTAGCATTTTGATAATCACTATGCAAGTATAATAAGTAAACAGTACATGGATATTAGAAAATAAATTAATACAGGAAATAAAAAACCCCATCTATCTCAAGATTTTTTGAGTAAAGATTAAAAAACAAAAACTTTGTGGCTGTAAAAGTAATACTATATCTATCAAAACATCAAAACATAAAATACAAGTCACTTGCAGTATGAGGACGTATCAAGATAATTTACACCTCACTTCTCAATTTAAGTATTTAATTAATTAATATTATAAATGACATCGTAACATTATTTTGTTCATCATCACACAATGCCTTTAAGGACCTGATGTCTATACAAGTAGATAAACAAGGCTACTTCTATTGGCCAAGTAAAGCTATCCTCAATCATTACTTATGCATACACTTTAAAAACACATGATTTTTTTTATTGCTGGACCGTATTACCCATTATGGTATTATGGTAAAAAGGATTCACTATAAACTGAGATAACAATATAAATATCTACCATAGAAAATAATTGTACTTTTCAATGAATAACTCTCTATCCATTACCACAATCCTGATTACATTTCCTATATAGCTAGCTGCTATAAATAGCTTCAGTATTAATGATGCTTTTGTATTTTTATTAAATCTTTATCACATAATGTCAAAGATGAAATAGTAAAAATAACATCTAATAAGTAACCATCTAATAAGTAAGTACAATTTAGCAATTATCGCTTCCCTCATTCTGACTTTAACAATTCCTTGAGAAAAGGTGCTGAACACTTGCGGAGTTAACTGTGCATTATGGTTGAGATTTTATCTCCAGAGTGGTCAGCATGGCAGCAACAAGCTTTTGTAGGTCTTTGCTTCGTAAAGCTCCTGTTTCTAAAACCTCCTCATGGTTGGCCACCTGCTCAGAGTCGTACTGCATCACCACTTTGTTGGTGACCAGCGACATACCAAACACCTCCATTCCACAGTGGGCAGCCACAACCACCTCCGGACATGTACTCATACCTGATCAAGAATTACAAGTAAAAATAATTATTTGTGTATGTGTAACTACTAAACAAACCTATTTTATCACACATTTTATTTGATGAATAACTCCATGTGACCTGTACATGTGTTGCATCACATGTCCCTGAAGTTTTAAAAGTTGTCTTTTTCAATTTTCATGGGGACAATTAATGATCACATTAATCAATTCATGGAATAAGATATTTCATTATCTAACTAAACTGATCTCTTTTAAAATAGTGTACATACACTCTCCCAGAAGTGTACATACACTCTCCCAGAAGTGTACATACTCTCCCCGAAGTGTACATACACTCCCAGAAGTGAACAAACTCTCCGAGAAGTGAACAAACTCTCCCCGAAGTGCACATACTTTCCCGAAGTATACATACTCTCCCAGAAGTGTACACACTCACCCAGAAGTGTACAAATTCTCCCAGAAGTGTACATGCACTCTCCCAGAAGTGTACATACTCTTCCAGAAGTGTACATACACTCTCCCAGAAGTGTACATGCACTCTCCCAGAAGTGTACATCCACTCTCCCAGTGTATATAACTCTCCCAGAAGTGTAAATACTCTCCCAAAGGTGTACATACATTCTCCCAGAAGTGTACATACTCTCTCCCAGAAGTGTACATGCTCTCTCCCAGAAGTGTACATACGCTCTCCCAGTGTATATAACTCTCCCAGAAGTGTACATACTCTCTCAAAGGTGTACATACACTCTCCCAGAAATGTACATACACTCTCCCAGAAGTGTACATACACCCTCCCAGAAGTGTACATACACTCTCGCAGAAGTGTACATACACTCTCCCAGTGTATATAACTCTCCCAGAAGTGTAAATACTCTCCCAAAGGTGTACATACATTCTCCCAGAAGTGTACATACTCTCTCCCAGAAGTGTACATGCTCTCTCCCAGAAGTGTACATACGCTCTCCCAGAAGTGTACATACACTCTCCAAGAAGTGTACATACTCTCTCCCAGAAGGGTACATACTCTCCCAGAAGTGTACACACTCACCCACAAGTGTACAAATTCTCCCAGAAGTGTAGATGCACTCTCCCAGAAGTGTACATACACCCTCCCAGAAGTGTACATACACTCTCACAGAAGTATACATACTCTCCCCAAAGTGTACATACACTCCCAGAAGTGAACAGACTCTCCCCGAAGTGAACATACTCTCCCCGAAGTGTACATACTCTCCCCAAAGTATACATACTCCTCTCCCAGAAGTGTACACACTCACCCAGAAGTGTACAAATTCTCCCAGAAGTGTAGATGCACTCTCCCAGAAGTGTACATACACCCTCCCAGAAGTGTACATACACTCTCCCAGAAGTGTACATACACTCTCCCAGAAGTATACATACTCTCCCCAAAGTGTACATACACTCCCAGAAGTGAACAAACTCTCCCCGAAGTGAACATACTCTCCCCGAAGTGTACATACTCTCCCCAAAGTATACATACTCTCCCAGAAGTGTACACACTCACCCAGAAGTGTACAAACTCTCCAAGAAGTGTACATACACTCTCCCAGAAGTGTACATACTCTTCCAGAAGTGTACATATTCTCCCAGAAGTGTACAAACTCTCCCAGAAGTGTATATACACTCTCCCAGAAGTGTACATACTCTCCCAGAAGTGTACATACACTCTCCCCGAAGTGTACATACACTCTCCCCGAAGTGTACATACACTCCCAGAAGTGTACACACTCTCCCAGAAGTGTACACACTCTCCCAGAAGTGTACTCCCAGAAGTGTACATACTCTCCCAAAGGTGTACATACACTCTCCCAGAAGTGTACATACACTCTCCTAGAAGTGAACAAACTCTCCCCGAAGTGTACACGCTCTCCCCGAAGTGTACATACACTCTCAGAAGTGTACATACACTCTCCCAGAAGTGTACATACAATCTCCCAGAAGTGTACATACACTCTCCCAGAAGTGTACATACTCTCCCAGAAGTGTACATACACTCTCCCAGAAGTGTACATGCACTCTCCCAGAAATGTACATACACCCTCCCAGAGGTGTCTATAACTCTCCCAGAAGTGTACATACTCTCCCACACGTGTACATACACTCTCCCAGAAGTGTACATACAATCTCCCAGAAGTGGACATACACTCTCCCAGAAGTGTACATACACTCTCCTAGAAGTGAACAAACTCTCCCCGAAGTGTACACTCTCTCCCCGAAGTGTACATACACTCTCAGAAGTGTACATACACTCTCCAAAAAGTGTACATACAATCTCCCAGAAGTGTACATACACTCTCCCAGAAGTGTACATACACTCTCCCAGAGGTGTACATACACTCTCCCAGAAGTGTACATACTCTCCCAGAAGTGTACATACACTCTCCTAGAAGTGAACAAACTCTCCCACAACCACTTAAGGTTTAAGTTTTGGTTACCCACCCACTGTTGTTATTATGACATCACAAAACAATGCTTTGCGCTGACATCTTTCATTGTGACGTCATGATTCATGGTATATGATTGCCTGATTAGAAATAAAAATAAATTATTTCCAATGAAAATGATTCCAATGGTTTTCTAGATATAAAAGGAATGTTATGGGAGAGAAAAACAATCCCTCAACTTGTGATTTCTGGTTATCATGTTAATATTACTCTCATTAAGTAATTTTCAAATTGTTAAAGACACCAAGTAAACCTTTTGTTTTTACACAATTTGAAAATGAACTAACTCGAGCTAGATAGATATGCTAACCAACCGTCATTGAAGAACCTCTATATAACAGATGTCCTACTGTAGCTGTCAGTACTGTACTTACCGGTCACATCAACCCCAATCATATTGAGGAACTTGCATTCTGTGACAGTCTCAAAGGAAGGACCAGCCAGCATACAATACACGCCCTCATGTATACGGAAACCTTCAAATCCTAGAGACTTGGCTGTAGTCTTAGCATGGTCGCGGAGGCGCTTGGTGTACGCTTTGGAGATGGCAGGAAAACGGGGACCAAACCTTGAAATGGAAACATGTTGGGATTATGTATAAGTTTTGAGATAGGAAAAATGGTTTTGATTAAAAAGAAAGTATTCAAAACATCGACATAAGCATTCATGTGGCTGACCTACTTGTTATATATATGTTGATCTATCAAAGACAGGGATTGTTCCAAAACCCTTATTAAATTCATTAGATAATGGATGGAATCAGGGTATGGTCCAAGCCATACACAAAACATTTTGCAATCCTTTTCTATGACCATGTCATGTATTTGTTCTAAAGTCATGGATTTTTATGACTATGTCCTCTCACCTCTCATCGTTTTGCCCATGTAGTGGGTTCATTCCAGCAAATCCAGGCATGTTGATATGGTCCTTTATGATCATTAGATCACCTATCTCATACTCCTGGTTAATCCCTCCAGCTGCGTTGGTAACAATTAGAATTTGCACTCCCAACAGCTTCATGATCCTAATAGGCAGAGCAGTCTGTCAAAATTCAAGTGGGAAATATAATGCTTATTTGGTATAAACACCAAAGCCTGAAATCAGCTTTAAACACCGAAACATTCCCCCCTGTGTTAGAGTGTATTTATTGTAGAAATCAGATCAGGCTTCTATAGGCAAGCATATCCATGGTTTCCAGGCCAGAACTCACCAAAATGTTAGTTGTAATTCCATTCTAAATGTTCAACAAGACCAGCGTGCAAGCTTAAGGCTAATCCTAGTAGCATGGTTGTATTTATAATGTATCTGTTAGTGCCCAGCAAAATATCTGTAGTGTCTAGAACGGGGATCTCAGCCATATTCAAGATTATACCTGGAATCCATAGCTAGTCTTAGTAGCATGGATGAATGATCTTAATGCTAATTATGAATGTAATTGTATAGTGGGGATCCGGCTCATTTATAATACATTGTTGTACAGCAGTACACCCCAAATATCTCTAGAGNTCCCCCCCCCCCCCCCCCCCCCTCTAGTCCCAGGGGTCAAACCAGCTTTATTAGCACAATGTATAATCATCTTGTCCTATTGAAATTTCAAACAAAATATGGTGACATACCATACAACCCTTTAAGAAGAATACAGATTAAAGGCTCCACCCCTCAAGTGCTCTTAACCAAAACTTGTATTTCTTCCATTGGGTCCCAACCTCTGCTACCTTGTCCTGGGTCTGGGTGGGCTACCACCGCAGCGGAACTGGACTGGATTGATCGTCGTGGACCAAGTAGCTCAATTGGTAGAAGAGTGTTTGTCTAGAGTTCAGAGGGTCCCAGGTTCAAACCCCAGTCAGACCCCACCTTTCTTCTTTATATGTACATGTAGTTCCGTTGGCACAAGGAAACTCCAGACAAAAGTGAAAATCCCTTTGCCCATACTCAAGAAGTGTTTTAAATCTTAACCAATATTTTCCCATTTAATAGCATCCATCTGCCCCAAGGGGGCACAACTTCCATTTATACAACATTGATTTCCCTTGGACCAAAGATGTTCCAGATGAATCAGGTTAAAATGCCTCCATTCGTAGGGAAAAAGTGTTTTAAAGAGTTACCTTAAATTCCCCTATTAGGCCCTGCCTCTCTGCCCCTTGGGTGTCACACTCTCCATTTATACAAATTGAGTCCCCTTGGCCCAATTATGATTCAGGCCCAAATTAAGTAAAAATCCACTGAGCCATTCATGACTCGTGGTGCTTTAAATGAAAAGTTGACAGATGGGTGGACAGACGACAGATTCTGCACCACAGTATAAGCTCACATAGCCCTTCAAAATGAACCATCAAGGTAAAATCAATCATCAATATCAATGAGCATGATTAACCCTGCCTTCCACTGAAAGGTATAGCATATAGGATCACAGGTACCATAGATAGCCGCCGACAATGGGATCTATATATATGTATAAAGTAAAATCAATAATATCCATTTAACAGTATGTTTTTGTAGGCATGCTGCTCTCTGCTAGAGACCCCTAGGGGGTCTCCCCGACTCTTACTTTACAGGTTACATATACATGTAGCCTTCAGAAGCTATAACTTACCCGGTAAGTAACATGTTCTATAAAATTCTGCTGAATTCTTATGAAATAACTGATTAATATAAATCAATACCATCATAAGTGATGGGTGTCCAGTTTGACAGAATTCTTAGATCTGGCACTATTAAATTTTTTCATTGTATTTGTATCACAAAAGCTCAAATAGTGCTTACAAGGCCAAATTTTGTAAAATATTGAGGGTATACCTATCCATCCCAGGACTAAGTTCTGGGAGGCAAAACTTTGTTTGTAATAAAATAATCTGTTCTGTTACCCATTTATACCTTTTGCATTGTGAACCCTTCATAAAAATGTACACGTCCCTTCATGAGAACCACAGGCTTGCCTCCAAGCTGTCCAAATACCAATTTTCCTGCATGCCCTGGCACTGCAAATAAAATTGAATAGAAAACAATTGAATTGAACCAAGCACACACTGTACCTACATTAAGTTATTTCTAAAATCAATAATCTGATGTAATCTTATGGAGTGCCATTTCTCAGAATCTCCATGTGTTCTACTAGCACAGGGAGGATTTTGTTTATTTGTTTGACGTTTAAAGTCCTCGCAACAGCCAGGGTCATATGAGGACGGGTGCCTAGGAAAGACACCGCCTGAAACAGGAAGTAGATAGAAAAGAAACAAGACAGAAAAGATAGGAAACCAAGTGTTGCAATGTCGTGCAGCAGAACATTTGGAAGAAAAAAACCCAATTTCTGCAGTATTTCTTAAAACACATTGTCAATACATGATTACATACAAGTAGTGTTTGTGCAGTTGACAGCACAGCATACCAGTGAACATCACCAGATATTTCATCTATGTTGTATAAACTTGTACATTGTATCTGCATCATGATCATGATGCCAATTCAAGTTAGAACCAATGTTAGTGTATAGACAACAGCCATTTTACATGTAGCTAGCAGTCAGTCAGTCTTGTGTAAATATCAGTCCACCTGAAGAAGCCCTAGAAGGCAGAAAGGCCTAGCTAGCGTTCATTTTTGTGTATGTCTTGTTTTATATTATGTACATATATCTCTTTCCAGACAATGATACAACCTCTATTTGCAGCCCCGGCCCGTTCCTAAAATACTGGGTGTCCTGATCAGCATGGCAACTTCTTTGGCACAGACTGAGACTCTTTGAGTGAAGTAACTAGTGTGAGCACCAAAGCAGGTTATGGTGGTGGCATCATGCTCTCCCGTTAAATTTGAAATCTATAAGCTCTGTGGTGGATCCTGAACTACTTATGATTACCATTAAATATGTCGGGTTTTTTTTTAATATATTTCAATAAATATTAAGTGTTTATAGGTAGCATTACTAGATTTTTTTCTATGTCAAAAAAACCCAGTTCATACATCAGAGTTTTCGAAATAATTTGCTTCTGGCCAACGCCAACGCAGATATAATTCAACTTCAACCGAAGCCTTTGTCTTAGAATATGAATATTTTAAAGCCTGCATGTTCCCAGGTAACCATCTACGGATACTGAGGTTTCAGAAAATAGCCAGTGCATCAGTTATGTTCATCATATCTCTGATACGCTTGAGCTTCATGTACTTCAGGTATACTGGTATCTGTTGCCAAGTGACCCAGCAGCCATTGTCAAGGTAACAGACGATAGCCATTATACATGTAGCTTCCTATTCCTAGGTTATCAAGAATACAGAAAATAGCCAATATATTAATAACCGTGATTATCTTCTACACAAGTTAAATGTAGAGTAGCAGAGGATAGCTACATAAAGGCAAACTAAATCAATAGTGCGATGCATGTGTTGATATGGTGGTGTCAGTAATTATAACCATCAACAGTGGATACAGTGTAATCTAGTAATAATTATAGCTGCCAGCTGTCGGTACAGTGGCAATCAGCCTTGTTCTACCTGGTGTATATACCTATCAAATCACCTCGGTTGAGTCAATGTTACCTTTTGCTACTTTACTTTTCCTTAAGGTTATAAAATCTTAACCTTAGATATTGAAATATGTATATTATGACCGACGTCATGTTGATCACAATGTTGAATTTTAATATATATATATTGTACATGATGGTTCCTGAAAGCTTTAAGTGCTGTCGTTTATTCCACTATAGTCCCATAGGCAAAGTACATATAAAGGTAATCCACAGTACATATCTATAAAATCCCATTTACATTATAAAGTGGATACAACTAATATCTTCATTTAGATTAAGTTTTCTTATGAAAAAAAAGGATTCCTACCAAGTAAATCATGTTTTCTCCGGGGACTATGGTTTCCTGCACATCAAGACCTGCACGCTAACATCCGGGCCAACCAGAGTGACTAATATTAGTTGTAATAACTTGTTTCATAATTTTTGTATTAAAGAAAGTTTATACATGAAGCATGTGTGTATATGTGTATAAACATGTACTATATCTGACGCATGTCACAAGTGTATCTAATCCACAAAAACCGATTTAACATGTTTATATCTTCATGAATGATTATCCTTTCAAATGGTGTGACAGTGAGTAACTGCAGTATGTGCAGGCCACCTAAGTTATAGGATCATATACTACAAGTAATATACCCTGCAGGTATACAATATGTCTTACTGTCAAAATTGCAGTACTCAGTAGTTGATATTTATTCTTATTTTTCAGTTTTAGAAGTGTTGAATGCTAGCTGTGAGCGCCGAAATGGCAGCACACAGCTAGGGAGTTGAGAAAGGGGTTGGCTGGTTGCAGAGGCCCTATAACCACGGATAATAATTTGTGAACTGCTTTGAAACGCCCTACGAACTAATTTATGATCAAGCGGTATATAAATGTAAGAACCGCAAATTAATTAATTATCATATTTAGTTTTTTTGGTGGAGGTGGAGGTGGTGGTGGTGGTTGGGGTTCAGAGTTTTCATTCTTACCTGTACTGACAGGAAACCCAGGTATTTCCTCGTACCCCATAATCTCGGTATCCGTCACCATATTTGCGAGTTCTCCAAGCCCCGAGCCACAGATGATGCCGACCACTGGTCGACACTTGATCCTGGCCATAATGTCATCTGCCAACTTCTTTGCTTCCTCATAGCTGGTCCCGCCACTTAAGAACAAAAGTAATACATTTTTACCAAAAGTCTTAATAGCTTGGACACCTTGATGTTTGTTAAATTTTCCATTTATAAAAAATAGTATAAGAATCTCATTTAGCTGTTAAAACAAGCTATACATTTGTGCGGTGTTTCGAAATCTTATTTTATACTCTATGTGTATTTGTGAATCTTTTGTTGAAAGATATGAACATATTTCAATAATCTTATGGAGAACTATAAGATGGTTTGAAAATTAAAGCCCTTTATTCGCTTCTAACACATCATATTAATTAACACCAATAGCCTACATCGCAAAATATCACAAACTTTGCCTTGCCACTTCTATTATTCAGAAGTCAATAAAACGTCTTTATAAATTGAAACATATGACCTTAAAATTGGGTCAAGGTTATTCATTTGAACAAACTAGAGACCAAATATATCACCCTAGGCTTCTTGGTTGTTTAGAAGATGCTATGGAATTGGGACAATTGTCATTCATTTGAACTTTTGTAACCCTTCATTCCTGTATGTAACTGGCCAACTATCGTCACCCTAGATTAATTCGATATTCAAAAATCATATATATTATATATATTCAGTTAAAGGTTTACACACATTTGACCAGCGACCTTGAAGGTAATTTAGTAAAGGTAATTCATTAATACAAACTTGAATCACCCTTTATCCAGCATATTCTTGCAAAATATCATCACCCTTGCCATTTTGGTTATTCAGAAGAATCATTTAAAGGAAAATGTTGATGCATGGTTTTAAGACATTTGACCCTCTGTGACCTTGAAAATGTGTTAAGTTCATTCATTAGAACAAACTTTATAGCCTTTCAGTCCAGCATAATACTGGCCAAATATCATCACAATCCTTTCGGTTATCAAGAAGAAGTCATTTAAAGAATAAATGTTGATGCACGGTGGACAGGCGGCGGATGCTGAACTACGACACAAGCTCACTTAATTAGCGGCCCTTTGGGCAAGGTAGGCTAAAACTTGAGAAAGTGTTTTTACTGGCCCTCTAGCTGCAGTAATCATGTAGGGATCAAGTCAGGAACAAACAATACAACAAGTTTGTAACACTGAGGATCTTTTAACAGTTCCCTATTTTACAGACATGCAATGAAAATCAATGATAAACACTGGATAAAAGAATGAAAAATGTCATGTCCTTTCTAAGCAAATTGTCATTATTACATGATCTTTTTATTGGTTTTGTTGAAGATAAACCTGTCAAGTCAATGTACTTGTGGAGTTGCCATGGCTCAGCTAGTTGAGACATATTTTGGAAATAAATTCTTTTAAATCTGTTATATATAAGAGCACAGTAAAACATCAATAAATACTGAGTCATCGTAAGACCTGAGGAACTTTTACCGAGAATCTACTATTTCTAAGAATTTGATGATGTAATCATGGACTAGATGATGTTTACTTAAACTTTATAGAGTCACTTTTCATGGGACACACCTCTTGATAGAAAGACAAATTGATCCATGTATAGGCTGCTTCATGTCAAACGTTCAATGCCTGTATACTCTTGTTAATTGCTAATATTTATGCTGTAATCAATTAAAAAGTGGGTAAATAATATCAAAATTGAGAACAAGAGACCCAATGGGCCTGCATTGGTCACCTGTAATTAATCTAACACTTGTAATCTTAAGATTTCATAAGAACCTATTAAAAGATTTAAACATATGACGCCTCTGACCTTGATTTTTGAACAAGGACATAAGGTTGAAAGTGGATCAAGGTCATTCATTTGAACTAACATGGTAGTCCTTCATCCCAGCATGCTACAGGCCCAATTTCAGTACCCTGGCCCTTTTGCTTCTTGAAAAGAAGTCGCTTGAAGATTTTACTACATTTGACCCATCTGACCTGAAAGTTGGTCAAGGTCATTCATTTGAACAAACTTGGTAGCCCTTCATCCCAGCATGCTACAGGCCCAATATCAGTACCCTGTGCGTTTTGGTTATTGAGAAGAAGTTGTTTGAAGATTTTAAGACATCTGACCCCAGTGACCTTAAAATTGGGTCAAGGTCATTCATTTGAACAAACTAGAGACCAAATATATCACCCTAGGCTTCTTGGTTGTTTAGAGGATGCTATGGAATTGGGTCAATTGTCATTCATTTGAACTTTTGTAACCCTTCATTCCTGTATGTAACTGGCAAACTATCATCACCCTAGATTAATTTGATGTTCAAAAATCATATATATTATATATATTCAGTTAAAGGTTTACACACATTTGACCAGCGACCTTGAAGGTTATTTAGTAAAGGTAATTCATTAGAACAAACTTGAATCACCCTTTATCCAGCATATTTCTTGCAAAATATCATCACCCTTACCATTTTGGTTATTCAGAAGAATCATTTAAAGGAAAATGTTGATGCATGGTTTTAAGACATTTGACCCTCTGTGACCTTGAAAATGAGTTAAGTTCATTCATTAGAACAAACTTTATAGCCCTTCAGTCCAGCATAATACTGGCCAAATATCATCACAATCCTTTCGGTTATCAAGAAGAAGTCATTTAAAGAAAAATGTTGATGCACGGTGGACAGGCGGCGGATGCTGAACTACGACACAAGCTCACTTAATTAGCGGCCCTTTGGGCAAGGTGGGCTAAAACTTGAGAAAGTGGTTTTCCTGGCCCTCTAGCTGCAGTAATCCTGTAGGGATCAAGTCAGGAACAAACAACAGGGATCAAGTCAGGAACAAACAATACAACAAGTTTGTCACACTGAGGATCTTTTAACAGTTCCCTATTTTACAGACATGCAATGAAAATCAATGTTAAACACTGGATAAAAGGATTGAAAAATGTCATGTCTTATCTAAGCAATGTCATATATGATCTTTTTATTGGTTTTGTTGAAGATAAACCTGTCAAGTCAATGTACTTGTGGAGTATGCCATGGCTCTAGTTGAGACATATTTTGGAAATAAATTCTTTTAAATCTGTTATATATAAGAGCACAGTAAAACATCAATAAATACTGGTCATCATAAGACCTGAGGAACTTTTACCGAGAATCTACTATTTCTAAGAATTTGATGATGTAATCATGGACTAGATGATGTTTACTTAAACTTTATAGAGTCACTTTTCATGGGACACACCTCTTGATAGAAAGACAAATTGATCCATGTATAGGCTGCTTCATGTCAAACGTTCAATGTCTGTATACTCTTGTTTATTGCTAATATTTATGCTGTAATCAATTAAAAAGTGCGTAAATAATATCAAAATTGAGAAAAATCTATTTGATCATGCATGCACCGTGTAATTTGTGCCTAATACCTCGATATCCTGTATATTGCAGAACACCACATTCCGGGGACTATATCAAAGTTGACACTGAATGTTGGAACCCAGCCAAGTAGTTTTAACATTCCAGTTCATAACATAACACACCTCCAATATTGACCAATCAGACAATCCCATATTTACACACCCACCACAGACAGCTGCCTCTCTAGACCTCTTTACCCAGGCCACAATATTGTATGTATTGGAAATAAACAGAGTGTGACCAGATCATGAGGTCAATGGGTTGACCAGTGTTACATGAAAATGGCCAGTGTCCTGCCTGTGACTTATTTGAACTGTCCATAATGTTCATGAACAAACAAATTTAAAGTCGCCCATACAAAATCAATGAAATAGAATACATGCATACTTATACACATTCACACGGTACGTGTACTAGCTTGCCTTTATTCAGGTGGCAGAACCTGTGTGTCAAAATCTAAATATGTCTAAAGCGTACTCACGTTGAACTTTATCCGAAAAAATAATAGCATAAAATCTCTGAGTCTAATTTTAACTGTAACATAAGAATGAATGAATTGAACTTGAGTAATATACATGTTTATATAAATATATGGGAATTTAGTTAATTTTAACAGTAAAACCCACCGATATGGTGAAATATTATGAGTCCTGGATCCTTTCAACAAACGTTTATTTCAAGAAATCTAGATGCCAAAAGACTAACATCACAATTACATATATAATCATCTGGTCACTGTAAGATGACAAGCCGACTGCCATGTTATTCTGACTACGAAATAAGGCTTAAAAAGTACCATTAACAATCTTTAACTCTTCTAGCTGCCGAATAAAATATTTCTGAACAAAGTTAAAAATAACTGGTACCCGAAACAAGAAACAGAAAAATTAGTCCCTAATACAACATGGAAGCAGTCATCTCTGTGTAAATTGGTTTGTGGTATATATAATCACGGACTTAGATCGCAGGGTCTAATCTAATTCCGTGATATAATCAAAAGGTCATCAATTGTTTCCATCATCTTACTGAAGTGTTTATATGTAAGTGAAAAAAGGTAACTTTACACCAAGTGATAAAATCTGTAAAACAAATATGGTTTAAGTATATATATTAATTAAATCTTACAAGAAAGAGATACTCTAACTTACTAAAAAGAGAGATCAAAAGTGTTATAATGGGAACAGCAGGTCAACTGTACATGGTCTCTCCTAGCCTGTACGTCCCCCAAAATATTCAGGAACATGTTTCAAATTAGTAGCCGTCTAATTATAATAACCCTACTGTAATATATATAGCAGACAATCTGACAGGTATGTAAATGTATATACATGTTTTGAATAGAGAGACATGCAAGATCAGCCCTATAAATATACATAACATGATCCCTATATATAATAACTACAAAACAATGATGTGTAGTACGTATATATGGACAGCGTAGATCTAATGTCTACATGTACACAACACTGTCCAGGTCCACTGTCTACAATCAATATATAAGTATATAACATATATCATAATTTTCTCAAATGGTTTTCTTCGATAATATTCTTTGATTTTGTGTTATACCAGAAATTACCATTTTCGTTCTGCCTGATCAAACACACTGTATGTATGTCTATAGACGATGTAAATAAACGGTACTTTGGTTGCGATTCAATGTAAAATTCAGACCTTTTTAGAATTTAAAAAAATCCACCTACCCTAACATTCCGTTCATTGTGATGCAAGCCTATAACTCCAGTATTAACAGAAAATATAACTAAACTGTGACTGAACTCCCGAATGGCTGATGTAATCCCTGTTGGTCTGCTGATCACTACCCACTGGCACTCTATTGTGAAGTGAAGTGTAGACTAGCTGCTTCTTATAGTCCAAGGTACTTATATACTCACCTTGTTCTACCTGCGCTATATATGTTGACATGTAGTACTCAATAAAGTAGCTAGGTCACAACTAACATATATATATACACATACACCGTCACGCTCCTTTCATATGTACACACATGTATGCAAAGTACCAAACTGACAAGGTGATTTATGTATAAATATTTCCTATTCACATAAGGAAAATTATGAATCTAGAATATCTCCAACTCATATAGGGTGCTTGTTTACGTAACCATACCCTGACCCCACAGAATGATCAATTTACCATGAAGCAGAACACAATACATGCTATTTATAAACGAGTTAACCGTTAAATTAAAATCAATGACAGCTGTTCAATATAGCATTCATGAAGTGAAGTTATTGGTAATGATTATTTTTGTTCAAATGGTCCACTTAACCTGCAGAATACCATCATAAACAGGGTCATTTGCAGACTTAATTAACAATCAATCATAGAAAGATTGTTTTTATCAACAAAGTTGAAAGGGGATATTGAAAAAAAAACTTGTTCACACCTCTGCAATAGGACCCCCGAGGGCATAGACGTAAACTTTGATGGAGCCTCCATAAATTAAAGAAGAAGAATGTGCTCCATCTGTCACAAGTAAGCATAATTGTACATGTGCATTCCATATCTCGGAAAACATTGATGCTTCATGGATTGCAATATAAGGGACAATAATGCAGCTGGTTTTGCTCTACTGAATGCAGGTTGCAGATGCTGTATTTGACCTACATTTTATGCTTCAATGACTTAGCATTACTTAGCTAGTGGTAGCAGAATGTCAGACGCCTAAACTTGGCAACCGCGGCCCCTGTGCAGTCCGTATTTACCTTCAATGTAGCTATTAACATTCCAATAAGAGCATTTTTATTGGTCCATTTTTATTGATCCATTTATTTTTATTGGTCCATTTTCATTGGTCCATTTTCAGCATCAAAGCGAGTGCATTTGCACTCAACAGTGAAGTCTAAGCTAAAAAAAATTCAGTATGGACAACTCATTGACATTTGGGAATTGAGTGGGGGATGTCAATGACTGTCTTCTTGCTAACAAAAGACACGTTTGCTTATATACTTGGTCATATATGCATTTCAAGGATCCCTGTTCAACTGAAAACAAAACACTAGAGAACTTATTGCATTTTACTCACATTTTCACAGCATAGAATATTTGGCATAGTTTACATCAAATACCACTTCAATATAAATTATTATTAACCATCTGGATGTTGTAACATAATAAAGGGTTTTTCATGTATTTCTTCTGCACATTTCGAATTCAGACCACCCAACATATATTTCATTCGACAACTGATTAATTCCTGCATGTAAATGGATAAAATGAACATATCCTGCAGCATACGCTCACACATACAACCCATTACCCTAAACGTGTCTGTTGATCAAAGTATTGGCATTTTTCCGGGCCGATCGCCACGAGCTTTCAATGGAGTTTGCCGAAAAAAACATCTTACTTTACGTTTTCATTTGACAAGTTTGGACTATCCGAAATAGGGTCAATCAGAGTTTGAACTATCACTAGCTAGAAAATTATTGTTTTTATTGAAAAAAATATGTGTTCGTAGAACTATCAGCCGATTTGAACTGACCGGAGGTTTACTGTATATCTAATTTGTTTGGCTTTTTATTTCCAGTTTTTATTGTTCCTTTCAGACATAAATGTCCTAAATGTATTTATATTAGGTATATGCCTGGAGCTCTAGAATTGCCCTTCAATCTGGAGAAGAAGTGCTGGAAGCTATGTAAACAGATACAATATAAAAGATTCAATTACAGTGGCATGTGAAGGTAATTCATAGTCAAGTTTCCGTACCATCTGTAGGGTGTCTGACAATAAAACTGATCACAGGATGTTATAATTAATCACAAGTCAATCGCTAATGTCTCCAACAAATGGGCCTGGTTAACAAATAGTGCTTGGAAACAGTTTTCAAAATGTTTTGTTGATAACGGATGGCCAGTTTCTACAGGCTTAAATCATAAAGATATAAAAAAAGTAATGCCTAACATATAATACCTTGTGTATAAACTATAATAAATGAACGCATGTGTACTGTCATACAAATGTAGTCTCATTACACATTTGTAATTCATACTTTTCATTATAAATAATATATGAATAATCAATGTATATAGTGTTGACTGATGAGTTAAAGATCAAGGTGTAAAAAGGAAAATTACATTCTAAAATTATAATAAATATCAGCACCATAATGAAAAAATATCAGTGATATTAGAATTTTTAGGTTAAAAACCGTTAAATTTTGCAAAATAATTTACAGGCAAAATTTATTTTGTTTTACTGGAAGCATTTTAAAATTGAAACATAAACTGAGGCTTGTTCATTGTCATTATTTTAATAAATACTGTACACGTAGGTGATTTCAAAAAACTTCAGAAATGTGTTGACCTACTGAACTACCATTGTTTACTGTCTGCTGTGTTCGCCGCTGGTGTACTATTTAATTTGATAGTTTACAAATGTTGTAGATTATAACCACAGACCGAAAACTTTCCTCACATTTAACAAAACCCTGGGGACAATTGAGCACTGATCTGATCATCAGCAATATATGTCAAGGTTATGTACGAAATAGACACCTGCAGCTACCACAGAACATTCTCTCAGCAACAGTATGGAATTCAGTGACTCAAATTTTTAAAACAATTTTATTTTGCAAAAAAAAATTCTAGGTGCAAAATGATTTTGAGTCACTATACAAACACAGACCCTTATCTGACATTGTGAATAAAAACATATTTTTTTCCAGAAAAGACAAGTCAGTTTTCTAGTGGCACGTACCACATTCATGTACTGCAATGTGTGATTCTTTGATTATCACTAGCTATACTGATAATGACCAATCGTGAAATACATCTACAGGAAACACTATAGGTTCATCTATCTTGAGTTAGTAAATTAAGGCACATCATGTCTATTTCTGATTGGGGAAACAATTACCATAAATCATATGCATGACATCACAATGGAAGATGATGACGTCGTAAAATATCGTAATGTAATGTCGAAATTAAAAATGTGATCAATGGAATCACATCCAGGGTGCCACAATTGCGTCTTTCGTATTGCAGAGTTATCTTCTCTTGTGAGCAGGTATTGATTGTTACGTCACATTATTGGTAGAAAAAACAAGTCAGTTTTCTAGTGGCACGTACACATTCATGTACTGCAATGTGTGATTCTTTGATTATCACTAGCTATACTGATAATGACCAATCGTGAAATACATCTACAGGAAACACTATAGGTTCCTTAATAAGTGATGATTGGGTTCCATGTTTATCTATCTAGAGTTAGTAAATTAAGGCACATCATGTCTATTTCTGTTTGGGAAACAATTACCATGAATCATATGCATGACATCACAATGGAAAAAGATGACATCGTAAAATATCGTAATGTAATGTCGAAATTAAAAATGTGATCAATGGAATCACATCCAGGGTGCCACTATTCTGTCTTTCGTATTGCAGAGTTATCTTCTCTTGTGAGCAGGTATTGATTGAATTGTTACATCATTGGTTTGTGTGAGAAAGTTACGTCATTTTCTCAAAAGTTAATGACGTTACTCTCACAAACCAATGACGTAACAATCAATACCTGCTCACAGGAGCAGATAACTCTGCAATACTCAAAGACAGAATAGTGGGTATTATATAAAGTTAAAGTTATAACCATTAAGTTATATAACCAAACAGGTTAACCAACAGCTAGCAGCTTAGGGTCAATAAGGACCTATTTGTGGTGTGATAAGATACTGGCACAATTTTTATATTCAAACTTTTTGTCTTTAAAGTCTGATTGTGTTTATAACTTACTTGTATGTAGAAATTTTGGTTTTTAATGATGATATATTTATAACATGCACTTTGACAAAAATGTGTCAACATTTTTGAAAACTTGTGAGAAAATATGGAAGCTTATATTAGAAATAAACAATTATACAATCGTCAACCTTTGATTATAACTCAGCTGTGAAGAGTTATAAATTTTCATCAGTATAGGCAAAAGTAACCAGGGGGGGTACAATATTTCATATTTTGAGTTCTTTTAAGCACTAATCTACTAGATCTCATGATCACTGGCCCCCAACATAAAATCTAGTAGCACACAAGAATTTGCATTAAGCCTAATTAATTTTGTCCTTTTAAATATTAGAATATGCAATAGCCGATTCATTACGATAAAGTCCAGATCTTGACCATAATGCCAAAACCTCTAAACTTTATCACATCACTTCCTTTGATTAATTCATGTAGGTTCTTGTTTATGTACTGAAATGAACAAAGGGCAATAACTTTTGGAAAAATTGTTGAATCAAAATTCTTTTAAGGGAGACACAACTTTATATCATAATTATAATGTATATCATGTTTCAAGGAGATCGGTCAAAAAATGTGGGAGGAGATCTCCGGACAAAAATCAAATACTGAAATGAACAAAGGGCAATAACTTTTGGAAAAATTGTTGAATCAAAATTCTTTTAAGGGAGACACAACTTTATATCATGATTATAATGTATACCATGTTTCAAAGAGATCGGTCAAAAAATGTGGGAAGAGATCTCCGGATAAAAATCAAATACTGAAATGAACAAAGGGCAATAACTTTTGGAAAAATTGTCGAATCTTCTTTTTTTCTGGGAGATACAACTTCATATTATGATTATAATGTATACCAAGTTTCAAATAGTTGGTCGAAAAAAAATAAAAAAAAATATATCAAATCTTTCTGTCATTGTCAGTTCGTTCATATTGCCATTCAGTTCAGTTTTCAGATTCCTCCGATTTTTTGGCGGAGCACCCAAGTAAGTCCTTGGTAAGTTAGTTGGATTGGCGAGGTCCTTTAGAATATAATACACTATAGCACAAGGAATTCACAATGGGGCTATATACAAATGGACGTATTTACAGGTGTCCCTATCATCAGCCCGTCATGAAACTCAGTCCATTCATGAGTAGTAGTAATCTGGATATACTTATGTCGGTGGGAAAGGTGGAACACCACGGCGTTCAAGAACAAGAGGCCAAATGG